AAAAAAAAAAAAAAAAAAAAAGAATGAGCAAACTCAGCGCCGCGTGGCTGCTACTAACTCTGAAGTCACGTGCTTCTGGCGTATCTCCCATTTCCCACGACGTGCGTGGGGCCAAGCCTACCCGTAGTCGGTGGTTGCTATATATATATACATTCAGCATAGACTGGAGTTTGGATTTGTAGTGGGTCATGAGAAAGTGGAATAGTGAGAGTGTTTCCTGCCGAGAGTTAGGCCTAGTTTGTGTGTGATTACATCAAAGCAGGTCAAATCTTTTACTTTCTCTCACAACTGGTTATTATTCTTGTTCTGTACGACCGGTTTTGTACTACTTTTAACAGCGCCACTAGTAACTTCCAGGTCTAAAGAGGACCGGACAACAGTTAATACCCCGTCAGGAGGTTTTAATGGGTGCGTAACCATGACGTAACAAAGCACAACTCCTAACATGCATACATGTGTACGTAGACGCTAGTTATATGGACGGCCGTGTACTGCTGTTGCAGGTAATTCTACGAGATGTTCTTTATGCCACATTGTCCGAACTAAAACGTATTGTAACAAATCAAAAAGAAAAAATAGATACAGAAAATATTGGTGTTTTCATTGGAGGAGGATATTGTTTTTAATCAAGTGCTCATCGCCACTGCGTGTGAAGTGTCAAAGCTCAAATCATTCAGATTTTCGAAGGATGTCCAATGTAAGTATGTTTACACAATATAATATTGTTAATGATAATATCCCGGTTTTTCGTTTCAACAAGTGTAAGTCAACCCAGTAGTATTTAGAACTATTTAGTGTACTCCATCATGAAAACCAATTTAAAAATACCATGTGAAACCTTAAATATAATTACCAAAAGGTAAACAGTCGATTAATTTTTCGGAAAACGTAATTTAATTATAAATAACAACAGGAGCGTAATTGTACGAATCAATTAGTAAACGTTTCGGAATCTTCAGTAAACTAAAGATGCAACGATACACACAATGGTAATTACACCAAAAACGAACAGAATGTAATGCAAATTAACCACGCAAGTTGTTTTTTTGTCTGTTGTTTTTTTTAGAATACAGACACGGTTCTT